AGCACCCTGAGCCTGTGCAAACTCATCCCCCAGTCTGTGGTGGGAGAGCCCACAAACATCCCATAAACTGCAGTGAACGGGCTCCAGTCCTGGGCATGGGGGTGAGACCCCTCACCTTGACCCCGACTCTGACCCTGGTCCTGGCCCTGATGCCAAACCTGACCCTGGTCCTGGTCCTGATCCTGGTCCCAATCCTGACCCCAGTCCTGGTCCTGCCCCTGGTCCTGATCCTGGTCCCAATCCTGACCCCAGTCCTGGTCCTGCCCCTGGTCCTGGTCCTGACCCTGGTCCCAATCCTGACCTCAGTCCTGGTCCTGGTCCTGACCCTGGTCTCAATCCTGACCTCAGTCCTGGTCCTGCCCCTGGTCCTGGTTCTGAGCCTGGCCCAGATCCTGACCCTGGTCCCAGTCCTGCTCCTGGTCCTGGTCCTGCCCCTGGTTCTGACCCTGGTCCCGATCCCAACCCCAGTCCTGATCCTGACCCCAGTCCCGATCCTGACCCCAGTGCTGGTCCTGGTCCTGCCCCTGGTCCCAGTCCTGCCCCCAGTGCTGGTCCTGGTCTCAGAGCTCCCTTTCTGCCTGTCTCTGGCTGTGTGAGGAGGAGCCCCAGGCAGAAGCGTGCCCTGGGCTGGGTGTAACGGGGTCTGCGGGACGTGCCCTGAGCCCACCCCAGCTCAGCTGCTGCCTGGGGCTCCCTGGCTCTGCCCAGGAGTGACGGAGCTCAGGCCAGTGCCCCACTCTCTCACAAGCCCTGGGACCCTGAGGTGCTGGGATGAGTCCCCTGGTCGCTGTCTGGGCAGTGGGAGAGGCTCTGCCAAGGGCTGCCTCAAGGACCAGGTCCAGTGCCTCACCTGGGCAGGGGGAGCTTCCCTCCAGCCCCAAACAACCCTTCAGCCTCTGCAGAGGGAAATGAATATGAGCCCGTGGCAGGCTGGGGTCAGATGTGGAGTCAGGGCAGGTCTGCCCTCCCAAAACCAGCCCCAGCACGGGAACAGGTCTGACTCTATCCATTGCCAGCTTTAAAAGCTGGAAAGGCAGAACAAGACCTGTAAAACATGTCCTGGCCCAGCTGGTGCCATGCCAGGAGGAGAAAAGGCCTTGCCTGACCTGGAGCCATCCTCGCACACAGAAAACTTTTTGTTAGCAAGTGCCCCAGGACTGGGAGGTCCAGGACAGCTCTGGTGGCTCCCAGACAAGCGGGGGCTTCTTCTGGAGGTCTGTGAGGAAGGGAACCTTCTGCAAGGCAGCGAGAGGCAGAGCCAGCTGGGCCTGTGGCAGCTGCAGTGCTGGGAGCACTGGTGAGAGCCTGGGAGCTCACCTGGCCTGGGACAAAGGCTGCTGGAGCCTGCTGAGGGACAGCAAGGCCTCCTCTGGGGGTCTGGGGCTACCTGGCTGAGGGGCACCAGCTGTAAATGCAGCTGAGCCTGCTGGGAAGAAATGCTGATGCCTGACTCAGTTCAGAAGGCTGAATGATTTCTTTATTATAACTATGCTATAATACATGAATATACAATTTAAAGGAAATACTAAAACTACAAACCTGCTTTTTCTAACTACCAAATCTAACTCACAACTTGTGACCTTCTTTTGACAGTCCAGCCCCAGGTGGGTTGGAATGGCCACCAGGCTCAAACAATCCTCACCAAAATCCAACCAAGCAATACCCCAGGGAAACAAACCTCCAAGCCCAGGTAAACAATTCTCCAAACACATTCCACATGGGAAAACAAGGAGCAGAAATAGAAATTGTTTTCTCTTTCTTCTCTCTGTGCTGCTCTATGAAAAATCCTGAGAGAAAGGAGAATGTACCTGTGACAGGTACCTGCTCTGCACCCTCTGCTGCCAGCACAGCACAGCCAGGCGTCCTCCAGCTGCTTCTCCGGCAGCAGGGCCCGGCTCAGCCTGGCCATGGAGCCCTGGGCTCCCCCAGGGCCCACGGCAGCTCTGGGGATGGGGGAGCAGCCCCACGGCTGCAGGAGCAGAGGGAAGGGCTCGCTGAGGAGATTCCCGTCCCATCCTTCTGGTCCGTGTGAATCCTGTGTGGGGGCTCCGGGCAGGGATGGAGGAGACCCTGAACCCCCGTCCTGGAACAGCTCTCACCTGCCCTGAGTGGAAAACAGGAAGGGAAAACTCAATGTACCCCATGGACAGGAGAGGAGAAGCTCCAGGGAGAGCTCAGAGCCCTGCCAGGGCCTGAAGGGGCTCCAGGAGAGCTGCAGAGGGACTGGGGACAAGGATGGAGGGACAGGAGCCAGGGAATGGCTCCCACTGCCAGAGGGCAGGGCTGGGTGGGAGATTGGGAATTGGGAATTGTTCCCTGGCAGGGTGGGCAGGGCTGGGATGGAATTCCCAGATTCCCCTGGATCCCTGGTAGTGCCCCAGGCCAGGCTGGACACTGGGGCTGGAGCAGCCTGGGGCAGTGGGAGGGGTCCCTGCCATGGCAGGGGTGGCACTGGTGGGGTTTAAGGTCCCTCCCAAGCCAAAGCAGTGTGGGGTTCCACAGCAGAGCTGGCCCTGGTGAGATGCTGTGTGGATGGAGATCTGTCCATCGTGTGTCCGTCCGTCTGTCCAGCCCCAGTGCTGACCCTGCCCGTTCCCAGCAGCCTGAGCCGCCCGGGCCGGGCTTATCTGGGGCTGCAGCCCGGGGCTATCGGGCGGCCCTGGGGAGGGGCTCTGGGCTGCCCGGGCCGATAGGGGGGAGCAGGGCCCGGCCCGGGGTGGGGGGTCCCAGCTGATAGCCCGGGATGGGCCAGCAGCCCGAGCCCCGGGGCCAGCACAGCTCCAGGGTGGGCACGGGGCTGGGCTGGGCTGCGGGCACAGCTGGAAACCCTGCCAGCCTCCCATGGCCCTGCCTTCACACCCCACACACACCATGTCCCTGCCTCGGTGTCCCTGCCTCGGTGTCCCTGCCTCAGTGTCCCCTCAGTGTCCCTGCCTCAGTGTCCCCTCAGTGTCCCCTCGGTGTCCCTGCCTCGGTGTCCCTGCCTCGGTGTCCCTGCCTCAGTGTCCCCTCAGTGTCCCTGCCTCGGTGTCCCCTCAGTGTCCCTGCCTCAGTGTCCCCTCAGTGTCCCTGCCTCGGTGTCCCCTCAGTGTCCCTGCCTCGGTGTCCCCTCAGTGTCCCCTCGGTGTCCCTGCCTCGGTGTCCCTGCCTCGGTGTCCCTGCCTCAGTGTCCCCTCAGTGTCCCTGCCTCGGTGTCCCTGCCTCAGCATCCCCTCAGTGTCCCCTCGGTGTCCCTGTCCCGGTGTCCCCTCAGTGTCCCTGCCTTGGTGTCTCCTCGGTGTCCCTGCCTCAGTGTCCCTGCCTCGGTGTCCCCTCAGTGTCCCTGCCTCAGTGTCCCTGCCTCGGTGTCCCCTCAGTGTCCCTGCCTCAGTGTCCCCTCAGTGTCCCTGCCTCGGTGTCCCTGCCTCGGCATCCCCTCAGTGTCCCTGCTCAGTGTCCCTGCCTCAGTGTCCCTGCCTCAGCGTCCCCTCGGTGTCCCCTGCAGCCCGGGGCTCTGCTGGCAGCCCCAGCCCGTGTCCCTGCTGTGCTGAGATGGAGCCCAGCAAGGCCAGGGGCAGAGCAAACCTCCAGGGAAAGCTCTGCCCTCAGGGAGCCCATCCTGAGGCAGCCTGGCTGCAGTGAGAACCTGCTTTGGCCCGTCTGGATGGTTTTTCCTGAGTTCTTGTGCTGAGGGATAACTCAGAAGCACATTCACTAAAATTTAGCTTTCCCTCAGACATCCTGGCCCTCAGGCCTCGCCTTGTGCCTCTCATCCTGTCCCCTGTCCCCTGTCCCCTGCTCCCTCTGGAGCAGCTCTGGACCCTCGAGCCCATGGCACTGGGGTGGCTCCAGTGCCACATCCTGCTAGGTCCCTTTGCAGGGACTTGGGGACAGGGATGGACAGACAGGGTCAGGGCAGGTCTGCTGTGCCCAGCAGGTTCTTGGGCATTTCTGCTGCATCCAGCCCTCAGCAGTGTCACCAGGACCCACATTCCACACCCAGGAGATTTTCTATAAAACTAAAATATCATGAAAGGCTCCAAGGAAATTAAAACATGTTTGTATGAGAAGTGAGGCAAATGTTGGGATTCCTGGGGTGCTCCTGGTCCTGTGCAAGGCCAGCAGCTGGGCACAATGATCCATGTAGATTGTTTTTTAGGAGCAATTTCCCCATGGAAAGGATGCTCAGGCCCTGGCAGGGGCTGCCCAGGGAGCTTTGGAGTGCCCATCCCTGCAGGTGTCCCCTGGAGGTGGCACTGAGTGCTCTGGGCTGGGGACAAGGTGGGCATGGGGCCCAGCTGGGACTCCCTGGGCTGGGTGGGCTTTTCCAGCCCCGGGGATTTGGGGATCCTGTCCCTTTCAGCTCAGGATATTCCATGTTTCTGTGATTACATGGCATGAAGGTCAAGCTGGAGCAGTCAGAGCAAGGGGTGCTCCACACCTCTTGGAGTCAGACCTAAACGATACCAAGGGTTAAATCTGGATCCTGAAATGATAGAACTTTGTTAGGGGCAGAGAGGAATTCATTTAATCTCCACTTTATTTCCCCTGGTTGTTACAGCAGAGAAACAAATAGAATGTCATTGTGCTGAGAGCAGAGTGCCTGGGGCTGAAGGAGACATCTCCTGGTGGGGACGGCATCCAGCTCTGCTCTACAATTCCAGCCTGCCTGGGCTCTCCACTGTGGAGCCCCCACCTCCGCTGCCTGTGGTGTCTCCCACTATCCCTCTCCCTGCTCAGGAAAAGACTGCATCTCCAGAAATTTTTTTCCACCATGTTTGGGCAACAGCCAGTCCCAGCTAGGGGCAGTTGTACAAATTGTGCTGATTTAAGACACACTCATTCTGTATTTCCCTGGATTCATCACTGACCCCATCCTGCATGGGCTTAGAGCACCTGCTCTGCCCCTTTCCCTAAAGTCTGGGAGCATCTGGCTTTGCTCTGCTGCTCTGGGCACCCTGTGCCAGGGCCTGCCCACCCTGCCAGGAGCAATTCCTAATTCCCAATATCGCACCCAGCCCTGCCCTCTGGCAGTGGGAGCCGTTCCCTGGGTCCTGTCCCTCCGGGCCTTGTCCCCAGCCCCTCTCTGGTTTTCCAGGGGTTCCTGACATCCCCTGCTGCCCCGAGCTCCATTCTGAAGCCACCCCTCGCTGGGGCAGCAGCAGTGAGTGCTGCAGTGGTGGGAAATCGCCTCTGCCCTCCAAGGCAGTCCAGCCTGGCTGCAGCCGAAGGGGCAGTGGGGCAGGATGGCTGGAGCTGAGGTGTGCATGTGCAGAGTGGCTGCAAAAGGCCATTGCCGTGACACACAGTCCCCAGGCACAGGGACAAGACCTAATCCGATTAAGTGGCTGATTCACCTGCTGTTATGCCTTTGCTGTTGTGCCCATCTGAAGGGATTTGAGGTTAAAGAGCTGCTGTGGGGATAAAACCAGCCATTAGAGGGATCAGTACAGGAGAGCAGCATGGAGTGGGCCTGGCTGAATGGAAATTACTTCTGCCTCTCTTCCTCCTGTTTCCTCTGCCTTCCTCCTTCCCCCTCAGCTCTTTATGGCCATCAATAACCATCAATGAAAAGTCATCTTGCTCCCACACCAGTAAAACCAGCCCCTGATGGGTCACAGGTGGGTCCAGGCCTGCAGGCCTCTCACCACAGCCACGCCTCTGCTTGTTTCAACAGGCTCCAGAAACCCAGCATTTACTAACCACACTTAAAAAATAGCATTAATGCTGCAGTTAACACTCCTGTCCAGCTCTGTGTTTGATGTTGCCCTGCCTGTCCCAGGCTCACCCTCCTGCTGCTCCTCCCTGAGCTTTTCCCTGCTGCTGGTTCAGATGCAGCAGAAAAGCATCATTATCTTTTCCCTTTTAAAGCTCGGCCTTGCAGAGCTGAAGATGAATCTCCTATCAGAGATGAGTGCATTGCTAAGAAGAGCCCCAGATGCAGCCTGGGTTTTAATTTCAATGCCAGGAATTCAGGCTGCAGAGGAGGAATAAATGCAGAGGCCACCGAGGCCGTTCATTGTCATCCCCAGCTGGGCGAGCAGCTGCTGGCTCAGGGGTGGGAATGCCTGCCTGGGAATTCGGGGCTGCACATATTCCATCGCGCTCCTTGAGCTCTGTAGGGTGAATTCGGACACTTCTGGAGCCCCCAGATCTGCTGAGAAGCACGGGTGTGCCGTGCGTGTGCTGTGCAGGTGCGGAGCTCGGGCCCTGCCGATACCTTTATCTGCCCCACGCAGCCGCTGCCCGGCTATCAGAGCCTGCCTGGGGCTGCCCAGAGAGCCTCTCCCACGCCCAGCCACGGAACAAATCAATAATGCCCCCAGAGCCCTGGGCTGAGGAGCTACAGCGGGACTGCAGCTGTGAATGCCCAAGGGGTCACAGCGATGGGCCCGTGCCACCGTGTCTGCATGAGATCACACAATGCCACAGTGGTGCAGTGGGGAGGGACCTTAAACCTCATCAGTGCCACCCCTGCCACGGCAGGGACACCTCCCACTGCCCCAGGCTGCTCCAGCCCCAGTGTCCAACCTGGCCTTGGGCACTGCCAGGGATCCAGGGGAATCTGGGAATTCCATCCCAGCCCTGCCCACCCTGCCAGGGAACAATTCCCAATTCCCAATCTCCCACCCAGCCCTGCCCTCTGGCAGTGGGAGCCATTTCCCCTTGTCCTATTTCTACCCTCTCCATGTTAGAAGTCCCTCTTCCAGCCTTCCCAGATCAATGGACCGGTATCAGTCTGTAACTGGAAGATTTCAGCGGTCTGGATGAGAATTGTTAAACTGCCCAGTCAGACCCAAAGCCACAGATGTGAAGAGTCTGGGAATGGTTTGGGCTGGATAATGGAATTCCAGCTCCCTGCACCAGGCAGGGACACATTCTGCCAGAGCAGGGTGCTCCAAGCCCCATCCCACCTGGCCTGGAACAATTCCATGTCTGTGGCCGTGTCTGGATGCCTGACACCTCCAGCATCCTGGCTGTGCCTGTGTGAGCACAGGGGCACAGCTGCACTGGGGGCCTGGAAACCAGGCAAACACCTGTGCAGGTGTCAGCCAGAGTCAGACAAAAGCCCGTAGCCAGACCTTGACCTGGTGGGAATGGGTGCTGCTGATGGGGCTGTGACAGGGCAGGGTCCTGCTGTCCTTGTGCAAGGCCTTGCATTCCAGCAGGGAGAGAGCCCTGAAGGGCTCACACCAGACAGAGCAGAGCAGAGGAGCCTGTCCACAGCTGCAGCCCACCCTGGCATCCCACCCAGGTGTTCCTGGAAACCTGGAGCTGAGGAGGTGACCTGTGCTTCACCAACACCGTCCCTGCAAGTGCCCAAGGCCAGGCTGGACTGGGCTTGCAGCAGCCTGGGAGAGTGGAAGGTGTCCTTGCCATGGCAGGAGGTGGAACAAGATGAGCTTTAAAGTCCTTTCCAACCCAGGCAGTTCTGTGATTCTAAAGCACCTCTCTGAGGGGTCTGTGCCTGTTCAGGGAGGGGTGCAATGTCTATGCCTGTGGTGAGCAGGCAGCCAGGGCTGAAGGAGTGAGAGATAAGAGGGTCCTATGTCCTGGCCTGGCCTGTTAAGGGGCTCACAGGGCTTTTCTTGATGACCACACCTCACTGCAGAGTGACCACAGCATGGGGACCCCCGGGAGGACCTGTGCCCGTCCCAGCCAATGGCCCCCGCTGGGCAGGGCTGGCCCAGGGGATAAAACCCGGCCCAGGCTCGGGCTCAGCTCAGCCCCGTGCCCTCCTGCAGCCCAGCAGAGCCGCCACCATGGTGCACTGGTCAGCCGAGGAGAAGCAGCTCATCGCCAGCGTCTGGGGCAGGGTCAGCGTGGAGGAATGCGGCGCCGAGGCCCTGGCCAGGTGGGTGCAGCCCCAGCCCTGCCCGGGCACTGCGGGCAGAGCGCGGCGCTCAGGAGCTCTCGCTGCCTCTGTCTCTCCCCAGGCTGCTGATCGTCTACCCCTGGACCCAGAGGTTCTTCTCGGACTTCGGGAACCTGTCCAGCCCCACGGCCATCGTCGGCAACCCCAAGGTGCGTGCCCACGGCAAGAAGGTGCTCACCTCCTTCGGGGAAGCCATCAAGAACCTGGACAACCTCAAGGGCACCTACTCCAAGCTGTCGGAGCTGCACTGCGACAAGCTGCACGTGGACCCCGAGAACTTCAGGGTGAGCTGTGCTTGGAGCTTTATGCTCTGGCCCTCCTTCCTCAGAGCATCTCAGTGCCTGGGGGGTTTCCAACAGGCATCAGTAACTTGTATTTTAGCTACCAAACAGGGCATGGCTGACTGGAGTGGGAACTGGGGGCCTGGGAATTCAGTAGTGCAGGGTAATGTTGGGCTCTGGGCTGCGAGGACAAATTTGGGCACAAACACAGGGAGATTCTCTAAAAGTCTGGGGGCTTGTGCAGGCATGGCTGGAGAAAAGGAGCAGATGTTGGCCTCTGCTTCAGCCTCTGTTTAGCCTGGCTTTGGGGATGTAGAAGGTGAACCTCGCACTGGCCCTCAGCTGAAGTAGGTGTGGGGTTTCACAGCAGAAAAAGGAGAGGCAGAAAAATGTCTAATGGCTGGAAAATGTGAGAGGGAGCAGAGATGGGGCAGGTGGGCACTCGTGCCCACGGCCAGCACAGGGCTCCTGTCCTGCAGCTGGCAGACCTTCCCTGGGCCACTGGGGAGCTGGGGTCCCTGCTCCTGGGTGCTGTGCAGGGTGAGGGGGTGCCCAGCAGTCTGCTGATCTGATTTCCCTCTTGCCTTCCCCTCTGCAGCTCCTGGGTGACATCCTGGTCATCGTCCTGGCCGCCCACTTCACCAAGGAGTTCACCCCTGCCTGCCAGGCCACGTGGCAGAAGCTGGTCGGGGTGGTGGCCCACGCCCTGGCCCGCAAGTACCACTGAGGCTTCGGGAGGCACCTGTGTCTGTAACGGGCAATAAAACCCACCTTTTCTGGGATTCTTTGTGTTCTGTGTCTCTGTGGCTGCCTGTGGGCCCTGCGCCTCTCCTGCTGGGATGTTTGCAAGGATATAAATTCACAGAGATTCACTGATCAGGCAGACATTTACCCCTCCATAGTTTGCTACTGAGGTATTAAGTTGATCAAAAGCATTTTCTGCATAAGTGATGAAAACTGGTGCATCTTGGCCAGAGTTTGATATCTGAAGTGTCTAAGATCCCTAGAGCAGGGGATGAGGGCAGTTCTCACACAGGATGGTTTAGAGCCCTTTTTTACTCATTTTGGTTTAATGGAAGCACATCTTTTCACTGGAGTTGAAAGATTCTGTGTAAGCATCACAGTTTCAGCAATGTTTTTTCAGGACCAGCCTAAAAAGCAACAAGGAGAGGCATGTTAGTGTCTCACAATGATGAAACCCTTGTTTTGCATAATTTAGGAACAAATGCCTTTCTCCTGACAGAGCAGGGATGTGCACTTCAGCCCTCTATCCTGCACGGCCAGGCAGGCAAAGGCCCAGCCCTGCCAGCAGCACCGAGGGGCTGGGGGAAAAGAATTAGGGAAAAAAGCCCAAAATCTGAATCCAGCTTCCCTGCAGCACAGCTCCTCCTTTCACCCTTTCAGCAAAGGGGCATTTTGACAGGATTGCAGGAGGTGAGAGCATTCTCCACGTCCTGCTCCAGCCCAGAGCCGTGGAACTTTCCAGCATGCAGGGCTGGATGGGGGGTGCAGCCTGCAGCACCCCAGACAGCTGTCCCTCTCTGGGGTGACAGAGCAATGTCACAGCTACTGCCAGCCCACCTGGCCCAAAAACAGGTCAGGAGAGTACAGGAGATGCCCCTGGATCCCTGGCAGTGCCCAAGGCCAGGCTGGACACTGAGGCTGGAGCAGCCTGGGGCAGTGGGAGGTGTCCCTGCCGTGGCAGGGGTGGCACTGGGTGGGCTGTGAGGTCCCTCCCAAAGCAAACCTTCTGGGATTTTAAAATAGGAGCAAAGATAACCTCAGGACCTGCTGGCTTAAGACACAAGGCCCTGCGCTCTCCGGAGGAGCATGGAGGCTGGCCTGGCTCCAGAGCAGAGCTGGGCACAGATGCCACTGCTGCTGATAAGGACTCTGTAAAGCTTGGCGGGGACACTGCTGCAATCAGGGACCAAGGAGCTCTGCTTGGGCCAGGAGGGCCCTCCCTGGAGCTGCCTTTGGCCCTCGCTGGGATGCTTTGTTTCTAAAAGAGACAAAGTTCTTGTCCATGGAAGGGGGCAAGTGTGTGGCCAAGACCTGGTCCAGTAGAAGCTTCCCTGCTTATGGCAGGGGAGATGGAATGAGATGTTCTGAAGATTCCTTCCAACTTTAACCATTCCATGACCCTGTGATTCCAGGAGTTCAGAGATTTTCCACCCACACCAAAGGGAACAGCTCTAGAAGGATGCTGGAGGGAAGGGTCCTGAGCATAGTGAAATCCATCCCAGGCTGAGAGCAGAGCTGGTTTTCTTCTGGGAACCAGCTGGGAATAAGCTGTCAGGTGTTGCTGGGCTTGCCCTGGGGAAAGGAGATCTCCCTTTGACTCTGCAGACACAAAGAGAGCTGGAGGAATTGTCCCTGCTCAGCACATGGAGATGAACATTTCCCCTGCCAGCCTGTGTCCCAGAGAGCTCCCTGAGCAGGCACTGCCCGAGCCCCTGAATCTCCCAGCCAGGCTGCTGCCCCCAAGACAGACAGCAGGGGATTTTCAAGCATGCTGAGAATCAACTCTTTCTTATAAAATCGAATGGAGCACCAGGGTGAGCCCGAGGCTGGGACTGTCTGGGCTCTGCTTGCCTTTGGTTCTTGCCAGCTCTCACAGGGTCCAGGACTGCTCAGAGCTGCTGCAGGCCTGGCCAGGCTCACCCTGCCATCCCCACAGGCACTTTGGGGGCTGTGTCTGCCTCACTGGGACCTTGTGTCACTGACGCTGCTGTGGAGCAGTGGCCCTGCTGCAAACAGCCTTTGGGCCAGCCCAGCACAGCAGACTGCCTTCAGATTTATCCATGGCTCAATAATCTTCAAATTTAGAAGCCCTTGGAATTGTTTCTCTGGGAGTTTAAGCCGATGTTTTTAGCTTATGTCAGCTGGTGAGCTCCCTGGGGCACTGAGGCAGCTGCTGGAGAGGCTCTGGGTGCCCAGAGAGGCTGTGGCTGCCCTGGCAGTGCCCAGGGCCAGGCTGGAGCAGCCTGGGACACTGGAATGTGTCCCTGCCCATGGCAGGGGTGGCATTGGATGGGCTTTAAGGTGCCTCCCGACCCAGACGGGGATTCCATGATTCCATGCAATGCACCGTGAAGGATTCTCTTGGCAGGAGGGGATGTTCCCCAGCAGGGACACAGCCCTGGAGCCCGCAGCGGGCCGGCAGCTCCACCTGTGCTCAGAGCTGAGGTGATGCTTGTCCCTGCACAGACAGAGGGGGGAAAGGGCCTCTCTCCCCCTTGGACAGCTTCCAAACCCACTATCTCCCCTCGCGCAGCCCTGCTCCCTCCCCAGCCCCAGGCAGTGAACGTGGACTGAGATTAGGCCGAGGCGTGTATATAAATCCCTGGGGCAGCCTCAGGAGCCACATCCTCTGCACCATTCAGGGAAGCTTGGGAACACCTCTGCCAGCACCATGGTGAACTGGACAGCCGAGGAGAAGCAGCTCGTCACCACCCTCTGGGGCAGGGTCAACGTGGACGAGTGCGGCGCCGAGGCCCTGGCCAGGTGGGTGCAGCCCCAGCCCGGGGGCACCTGCGGGGAACCACTCCAGCCACGGGAGCGCTGACCTGACTCTGTCTGTCCGTCTGTCTGTCCCCAGGCTGCTGGTCGTCTACCCCTGGACCCAGAGGTTCTTCGTCTCCTTCGGGAACATGTCCAGCCCCACCGCCGTCCTGGGCAACCCCATGGTCCGTGCCCACGGCAAGAAGGTGCTCACCTCCTTCGGGGAAGCCGTCAGGAACATGGACAGCGTCAAGAAATGCTTTGCTCAGCTGAGCAAACTCCACTGCGAAAAGCTGCACGTGGACCCCGAGAACTTCAGGGTGAGCCACGCTCAGCTCCAGCCTGGGCCGGGCAGAGGGGCTGGGCTCTGGAGGGGCTTCAGGGGTCTCAGAGGGGTCTGCCAGTTACTGAGACCTTGAGAGAAACCCTGGGGCTGCCTGAGAGCCCGTGGAGGGAAAGGACAGTCACGTTTGGGGGAACAGAGAGGAGTTATGGGGCTGGGATCTGTGAGGGGAGGCAGCCAGGCAGGCGAGGTGAGCGGGCAGAAACGCACAGACCGTGTGTCCTGGTCAGCAGAAACACCCTGGAGCAGCCAGAAGGGAAGAGCTGACCCGGGCTTTGGAGGGAAGGGCTGAGCTGGGCTGTGAGGGAGTGCTGAAACCAGAAGGGAAAAAAGCACAGCCACTGTGGCAGGAGGGCTCTGGGCCCAGGGGCAGGCAGGGCGGGAGGGATGGGAAGGGAAGGGAAGGGGGAAAGTCAGTAGAAGCCGAGGGAGGACAGTGCAGAGCAGGCACAGGAAGGTGCTGGGGGGGATCCAGCACACCCAGGGGTCCCGGGGCGTGCCAGACCCTGAGCTGTGCCGGGAGCCCGGTGCCTGGGGCCAGCACAGATCTGCTCCTTGCTGTGCTCTGAACTCCCAGAGGGGACAGTGGGGAAGGCTGGGCGGGCTGCAGCGGCAGCACCAGCTGACAGCTTCTGCTCCCTCCCTGCCAGCTCCTGGGTGACGTCCTGGTCGTCGTCCTGGCCTCCCACTTCGGCAAGGAATTCACGCCCGCCTGCCAGGCTGCCTGGCAGAAGCTGGTCCGTGTGGTGGCCCACGCGCTGGCCCACGAGTACCACTGAGCCCCCTGGGAGCCTGCCTGCCTGGAGACACTCCTGGGGAATCTCCTCGGGTCCTGCTGGGCTCCAGTCACACAATAAACCAGCTGCTCCAGCCACCAGGACATGTCTGGTTCTTTGTGGGAACGGGAGGGGAGGGACAGGGGGCTGGGGGAGCAAATGCTGATAAACGTGGGATAAAATGAGCCACGATCTCCTTCATGCAAGTGAAACTTGTCCAGGATGGAGATCCCAGGGCAGTGTTCAGGACTAAACCCAAATGAACACCACAAAAAACAAACAGGAACACCCTGGCAGTTTTTGGAGACATCAGGTGACGTTGCTTGGTTTAATGTTTGAAGACTTTCACAGAGTGAGTGGAGAAGAACTGTGCAAAAATGTGCACTGAGAGAAGTGACAGGGAGATTGGGGCTATGGCTTGTGTCTTTCCTGCATGTGGGGCTTTGTTGGCTTGTGGTTTTATTTAAAGCCATTATCATTCTTAGATTAGCAAAGGTAGACTGTAACAGACACAGCCCTCAAGACTCAGTTGGATGGAACTTGGAAAAAATCTGGAACAGCGGAAGGTGTCTGTGCCCGTGGCAGGGGATGGGACTGGATGAGATTTCAGGTCCCTTGCAGCCCAGACCAGTCTGGGGTTCTGTGATCCATCAAACACCCCAGTGCTGCTTGCAGAGGGAACAGTGCCACCCCAGCCTGGCCAGGGTCCTTGGCCGAGCCCCTCCTGCAGTGAGCAAAACAAACACAAATGCTTTGCTCCAAGGTAATCCAGACCCCAGCAGGGCATCCCCGTGCCCCATGAGCTCCGTCCCAGTCCCCTGCACCCCACTCCCACCTTCAGCACGGCACAGGGGCAGAAGGACAGCCCCAGGAGACCCAGCTGCCTCTCCCCCTTCTCAGGACACCACTGATCCTCCAGCTTGCGGCTTTCGGGGTCACTTGCGGCTGTCCCCGTCCCTCCCCGGCCCCCTGGGACCCCTCTGGCTAGCTGTCCCCTCAGGGGACCGGGGTTTGCCGCGGTCCCGCTGCACTGGGTCACCAGGCAGCGGCTGGGTTTGCACGGTCCGAGCGGTGGTGCGCCTCGGTCGCTGCAAGGAGTCGAGATAAAGAGATAAAGAGAGGTCAGTTGTGTGCTGTCCAGAGAGATTGTATTGCCTGAATGGTTGCAGGGACAAAAGACCCTGGGCTACTGCCCAGATACAGTTTTATACAGCAAAATTAAGAGATAAGGTCTAAACAATAGAGACAGTGTCCAGCATGGGCTCATCAGAACCTTCCCAGGGGTCAGGTCCAATGGGAACTGCTCAGGGGTGGGGAGAAGGGGGTTTACAGAAGGGTGCTGAAGTGAAACTTTCCCGAAACAATGGGGCATACATAAATGTATCTTTTCCTCATACCTAAATGTATCTTTTCCTCAGTTTCCAATTCCCAAGGCCTTTCTAAATCCCTTCCTCCACACTACCGCGGCAGCGCGATAGCAACACCAGCTGCTGAGCCCCTGTCAGGCTGCACATCTGTGCAGATGTTTTTTCTTCATGGAAAGGCTGCTCAGGCCCTGGCAGGGGCTGCCCAGGGAGCTTTGGAGTGCCCATCCCTGCAGGTGTCCCCTGGAGGTGGCACTGAGTGCTCTGGGCCGGGGACAAGGTGGGCATGGGCCCAGCTGGGACTCCCTGGGCTGGGAGGGCTTTTCCAGCCCCAGGGATTTGGGAATTCTGTGGGATCCCAGTAATTCCAGCATCCCCACCTCTCCTCATGCCCTGTGAGCCAACAGGGAGCTGGTTTCCCTGGGTTACAACATCTCCTTTCCAGCCCTGCCTGAGCTTTGCCAAGAGGTTCTTTGAGACGGGAGCTCCCTCTTGGCTGCGAGGCCTTGCCGTGGTTTTAGCCGTGTCATCCTGAAGTTAATCCAACTCCTAAAGAGCCGATGGGAAGCAAAGGGGGATCCCAAAGCCTGATGACAGGTCCTGCAGGGAGAGGAGGAGAAGAAGCTGGTTCATTCAGAGGGAGATGCCGGGAGCCCCGAGGCTGCCTGTCCTGCCTCAGGGGCTGGCACCAGCCAAGGGCAGCAGGCCTGGCACCTTCCCCGGGAGCACGGAGCTGTGCGGGACCTCGCCTGGAGATAAGGGCACCTCAGCAGGGCTGGAAATCAGGACGGGGAGGGCAGCTGGCCAGCGGAGCCCACGCCGGAGCTGGGCACCTTGCCCCGGGCCCCACCCTGCAGCAGGGTCCCCTCCCGGGGCTGCGGGTCCCCGGGCGCAGCCAATGGAGGGGTGTCCCGGCCAGAGGAGGGGCTCGCGCAGGCCATAAAAGCGGGGCCGGGCAGCGGCTCCCCAGCGTGCGATCCTTCGGGAGCAGAGCCCAGCGTTCCTCCGTGCCGACACGCAGCCCTCCTGCCGACACCATGGTGCAGTGGACAGCTGAGGAGAAGCAGCTCATCACCGGCCTCTGGGGCAAGGTCAACGTGGCCGAGTGCGGCGGCGAGGCCCTGGCCAGGTGGGTGCAGCTCCAAATCCCGCCCGGCCGCCTGCGGGGGAACCACTCCAGCCACAGAACGCTGACCTGACTCTGTCTGTCTGTCTGTCTGTCTGTCCCCAGGCTGCTGATCGTCTACCCCTGGACCCAGAGGTTCTTCGCCTCCTTCGGGAACCTGTCCAGCCCCACCGCCGTCCTGGGCAACCCCAAGGTGCAGGCCCATGGCAAGAAGGTGCTCACCTCCTTCGGGGAAGCCGTCAAGAACCTGGACAGCATCAAGAACACCTTTTCCCAGCTGTCCGAGCTGCACTGTGACAAGCTGCACGTGGACCCCGAGAACTTCAGGGTGAGTCCTGCCCTGAGCTGCCCTCCCCAGTGCAGGGTGTCCCTGAGCCTGGTCCCCACCAGGAGAGGGATTTGCCCAGCCCGGGCAGCGCGGGAGGAAGAGGGGCTGGGTTGGCACGAGGCAGAGGTGCAGGGGACAGAGAGGGAAGGGACCCGTGCAGCCTGGGGAGGAGGCACCGCACGGGCTGAGAGGTGACAGCGGCCGTGGGCAGCGGGCAGGGCAGGGGAGGACGTGCTTCCATGGAGAGCAGTTGTTGAGCAGGAAAAGGCCGGAGCCAAGGGGAAGAGAAGGAGCAAGAGCAAAGTTTGGCACAGAGGAGAAGAGAGAGATGAGTGAGGAGCCAGAGATGGCAGCTGGAATGCTAAAAGTAAAAGAGGATCTACAGAGAGACAACTTTGGCTGAGTGTCTCAGTGGGGAATTAACCCCACCCTTTGTCCCTGGGCTGGGGCTGGCAGAAGTGCCCCTGTGTCAGCATGAGCTCCTTGTTTGTGCTCTGCGGGGCCAAGCACCGGCTCCTGCTGTGCTGCGAGCTTGGCTGGGTCTTCTTCTGGAGACAAACTCCAAAACAAAGCCAGAAGGGACAAAGAAAAACTTACTCCAAAAAACTCTGGAGAATTTTTGCTTACTCTTCCCACATAGCAGCAGAACCTGAACCTTTAGAGAGCGAGCAGAGACCAAGTTTAAGGTGCATCTTAGGAAGGACCTGGGGGAGGTTTCTAAGACTGTAGATGTCCTGGAGGCTTCCCTGGGTGCAGCACGAGTGGGGCTGGACGGGACATCGCTAACCCGAGGCTGCTCCTGTCCCCACAGCTCCTGGGTGACATCCTGGTCGTCGTCCTGGCCGCCCACTTCGGCAAGGACTTCACTCCCGACTGCCAGGCCGCCTGGCAGAAGCTGGTGCGCGTGGTTGCCCACGCCCTGGCCCGCAAGTACCACTGAGGAGCCGCAGGAGCGCCCGGCAGCGCCCGCACCCGCTGCCGTCCGAGCCCACCGCTTCTAACAGCAAATAAAGCTCATCCTGTGAAGCCTGCCCGTGTCTGTGTGTCCCTGAGGGCATGGAGGGCTGGGGGGCACGGCTGGCTGACCCCCTGCCTTTGTTCTGGGGGGCTGCGCGGGCTGTGTGGGATTTGCCTCTGGAAGTTGTGCTTTCCTCCCCGGGGTCACGCCAGGGGCTTTGCACGGAGAAACTACTCAGAATTTTACCGCAAAACCTGCATGTCTCTCCTAGACATGGGAAATTGAGAGCATTCATATGTTTGGGGGGGGAGGATAAACAAATTGAAGACTTTAATCTACCCTGGCTCATCCCTGGTGTAAAACCTACCCAAAATCAGCTGAGTCACACGGGCCCAGCAGCCAGCTGGGTGGGGGCAGGTTTTAGATAAACATTTTGCTATCAAGGCCTGAGCAGACTTTGTTTATTCACATCCCTCCCACCCTGCGCCGCCCACTCTGCGGTGATGGGGGGGCAATTCTGCCGAAAGCAGCGACTTAATTTCCTGGACGGGAGTTTTGGGTGGGTCTAGGTGTCTGCAGAGCAGGACTCGTTCGGGTAGGGTTTGTTCTTGGCATGGGAAGCACGAACGGAGCGTGACAAGGCAAAAGCGATGCTTGGCTGAAAGGATGTGCCACTTCTAAGGGAAAATATTGGGTAAAGCTATTCAAACCAGGATTTCTGGCACCCGGGTTGCGCCGTGTTCTGTCTCTGCCTCACCCACATCTCTGGGCACTCCCTCTCTGCCCCACAGGAATGTGTTAGAAGCCCCCGTGACCCATAAATGCCCTTTCTCAGTCACGACACCCAAAGAAAGAGGCATTTTGTCCCTGCTGGCAAGGTACATGCTGAGCAGGAGAGGAGATGACTCCCAGCAAGTGCCACAGGGTTTTTCTCCCTGCAGGGAGACTGAGCAGGCACAGAGTCACCAAACCCCCAAATATTTCACGACTTTTCATAGGCTTCATGACAGATAGGAGCAGTTTCCCATGAGGGTGATTGTTCACAGGCAGACACGAGTGAGCTGTGTGATGAGCAGGTCTGCTCCTGCCAGCGCCGTGTCTGGGGCTGGGAAGGACAACAGAGCCGGACAGGGGCTGGGACAAGGGAAGGACAGGACCCAGGGAAGGCTCCCACTGCCAGAGGGCAGGGCTGGCCCAGGGGATAAAACCCGGCCCAGGCTGGGGCTCAGCTCAGCCCCGTGCCCTCCTGCAGCCCAGCAGAGCCGCCACCATGGTGCACTGGACAGCCGAGGAGAAGCAGCTCATCGCCAGCGTCTGGGGCAGGGTCAGCGTGGAGGAATGCGGCGCCGAGGCCCTGGCCAGGTGGGTGCAGCCCCAGCCCTGCCCGGGCACTGCGGGCAGAGCGCGGCGCTCAGGGAGCTCTCGCTGCCTCTGTCTCTCCCCAGGCTGCTGATCGTCTACCCCTGGACCCAGAGGTTCTTCTCGGACTTCGGGAACCTGTCCAGCCCCACGGCCATCGTCGGCAACCCCAAGGTGCGTGCCCACGGCAAGAAGGTGCTCACCTCCTTCGGGAAAGCCATCAAGAACCTGGACAACCTCAAGGGCACCTACTCCAAGCTGTCGGAGCTGCACGTGGACCCCGAGAACTTCAGGGCGAGCTGTGTTTGCCGTGCCAGCCCTCCCCTGGCTGCCTGGGCACAGCCAGACCTGGCTCTTGCTCTGCCCAGGGACGTTTGCTTGGGCTGCTGGGGAGGAATCCCTGTGTAGCACCCAGGAGAGGTTTGTACAAAGGTCTTTGCCACCGTGTCTGTGAGTTTCTCCCTCAAAAGTCCATTTTTAGTGGCAGCACAGCACAGGGGAGGGCAGGCATGGAGAGACGGTTACCTGGAGGAGCAGCCCCAGGGGAAGCTGCAGCCTGGGCTGGAGCACTCGCAGCAGGGGGAGGCTCAGCAGAGCATTTCAGAACATCCAAGCTCCCACTGCAAGATAGGCAGAACCAGGAGCAGAGTCCTGCTTTGCCCAGCATGGGGCATGGCACACTCCCTCCTCCTCCAATACTTTTAATTAAAAAAAGATCATTCTCTTCATTTATGTCTAAAGAGAAAAAGAAAAAAAACAGGGGTTTTCAAGGCGGATCTCAGGCCAAATCCAAACACTTTAGCATCCCAAAAATGGAAAACCAGTTTGAGTTTCTTTCTTTCTATTTTTTTTTTTATTATTTTGAAGAATGAAACCAATATTGTTTTCCCAAAACCCAGAGCTGTCTGTGGGAAGACTGAGGATTCTGCTGTGGCAGGGAGCAGGGAGTGAGGCATGCCCGTAACCAGGGCTGAGGAGGAAGAGGAGGAGGAGGAGGAGTGTGCAGGGTGCGAGAGCCCTTCCAGAAGGGCAATTCTGCCTCAGGGAGAAGTCAGGGGAGTAAACCTGTGGGCTGCAAGTGGTGTGTGGGGGGACAGGAAGGAGAGGGACTGGGGAGGGGGGAAATCTGCAGCAGAAAAAGCAGGGAGACATGAAAGAGAAGCTGTTTGGAGCCCAAGGCCACGGGAGGGTGGTGAAGGGCTTCCAGTGCCAGCAGAGCCTTGGTGACAGCAGGATGGCAGCTCAGCCCCAGCCAGGACAGCCCGAGCTGCCAGCTCTGCTCCAGCTGACCAGCAGCTCCCAGCAGCACTGACCCACCCATCCCTCTCTCCTCAGCTCCCTGGGGACATCCTCGTCATCGTCCTCACCCCACCTGGGCAGGGATTTCACCCCTGCGTGCCACTCTGCCTGGCAGAGGCTCGTGGGTGTGGTGGCCACGCTCTGGCCCACGGGGAGCCCCTGACCCCAATAAACCCTCCAAGAAACTCTTCAAGAAACCCCCAAGAAAGCCCCCATTAAACCCCCCAAGAAACCCCCCAAGAAACCCGCAAGAAACTCCCAAGAAACCCCCAAGAAACCCGTCCGTCGGCTCCCCTGCCGTGTCCGTGTGTCTGTGCTGGGCAGGGAGGGGCTGGGCTGGAGTGGGAACCGGTGCCACCCACCAGTGACCCCCGGGCTGGGGCTGGGGCAGCCCAGGACCCCCCAACCCTGTGGGGCTGGGACTGCCCGGGGTTCCCCCAGCTCTGCAGGGCCCAGAAGATGCTGCAGAGGGACTGGGGACAGGGATGGAGGGACAGGAGCCAGGGAATGGCTCCCACTGCCAGAGGGCAGGGCTGGGTGGGAGATTGGGAATTGGGAATTGTTCCCTGGCAGGGTGGGCAGGGCTGGGATGGAATTCCCAGATTCCCCTGGATCCCTGGCAGTGCCCAAAGCCAGGTTGGACACTGGGGCTGGAGCAGCCTGGGGCAGTGGGAGGTGTCCCTGCCATGGCAGGGGTGGCACTGGGTGGGATTTGGGGTCCCTCCCAGCCCAAACCAGTCTGGGATTTTCGTGGTGGGCTCCAGGAGGTGCCATCTCCCAGTGGCTGATCACAGATCACAACTGTGTTTTCTACAATTTAACACTTTGCCAATGCCTTTTCCTACCCATGTTGCCAAAGACAATCCTCCTCTCCTGAATTCTGCTGCCATTACTCTCTGCAGTTGCTGTGGACGGTCCCTTCCTTTCCATCCCAGGCAGCACCATGTGCAGCTCGTTCATCAAAGTTTTGTCATGCTGTGGGAGAACAGTCCATCATCCTGCTGGGGTGAACTTCCCACCATTCCACAGCTGCATTCAGAGGGACTGAGGAGTTTTCCATCTTTTCTAAATCAGACCTGAACCAAATCTGTGCTGATTGCAATTCCCAGCATCTTTTAAAGAATTCTTATTCAAATGTTAGTCAGGAGCAGGTGAACCAGGGGACTATAAGATGTAATTATTTTTATCTTGGCCTGATCCCCACACTTATCAAAATTGCTGGAGCAGAGAAAGTCCCCAGTTCACTTCTTAGCACCAGCCAGAAACACTCTTTCAGCAGCTCTGTGCTGCCCCTGCCGGGGTTATTTCTCATGTATTTTTAGGCACGATTTTACACCTCTGAAGGGAATTCTGTCAGGAGTGGCAGCGTCACGGAGCATTTCAGGAGCCCGAGCTGGTGGGGTCGGGTTGCAGTCACAACATCAGCTGCCCCTGGGACGTGTGTGCTGCAGGGAGGGGGACTGGCACTGTACTTGCTCCGATGTTTAAAAGATGCTCCATCGCTTTTGAGAGGTAAATAAAGATGTTGTTTTCTCCAGGAACTGAGTGGAAATTCCCGACTTGCCCAAAGAATCTCTGCTCCTGCAGGGGCTGTTTCAGTTTCTGCCATGCCTCAGAGATGTTTGGACAGAAAATCTCTTTGCCTGTGGCACAAAGGGTCCTTGCAGGTTTCCCAGGATGGCCAAAGCAGCAGGTGAGGCTGCAGGGGGACCTGCCCTCCTCTCTCTTTCCCCGAGCCCCCGGTGCAGGGCTGGCCGGGAGCAGCATCACAGCTTTTCCCTCCCTCGCTGCCTCATCTGATGTCATGGCAACTGCGGCAGAGCCCCTCCGAAACTGCGTCTGGGTCTTAAAGGATTTCTGATCCCTTGGGGACTTTGCAGGAAGGAAGGCTGGAAACCCCAGAGGGACTTGTCAGAGCGGATCCGCCTCATCTTTCCCCTGTTCCACCCCCTTGCCTCCTCCCCGCTCTGTCAGTGCCCTGCCAGCCCCAAATCTCTGCAGCAGAGACCCAGACACGAGCAGGAATCGCATTTCGGAGCTGCTGCTGGGCTCCTCTTTTCTCCCGGGTCCCACCTGGCTGGGGTGAATGCAGGAGTCCCACTGCACACAGTGACCTCAGGGACCTGCTGCTGTTGGGGTTTGCTGGCAGCAGGTTCGTGGCATCTCCCCGGGGTGCCTCACCCACCTGCTTGTGTTTGTGGGGTGCTGCAGAGGATGGGGATGCCGCGCACGTCGGAGCTTGCACACTCAGATTCAAATATTACATCTGTGTTTCCGTGCTGAAGGCCATTAGAGCACGCTGGAAAGCTGTCTGCTAATTTAACTTATCAAGCTAATTATTGGGCTGCTGAAGTGAGGAGCGGAGGTGCAGATGTCTGCAGCTTTGTCTGAGCCGTGGGGCAGCTGAAAACACACCAATTCCATTTCTCAGGGCATGCTGATGGGTTCAGTCCTCAGCTAAACAATGCCAAGTTCTTTGTTTACACAGACAGATTGAGTGCGAATTCCTTGGATGCTGGGGGCTGGAAAATCTGAACTTCTCCCACACCAGCCCTGAAAAGAGCAGCGGGGCAGTCAGGAGCTCATTAGTGTCAGCTGGAGGGGCATTTTACAGCTTGCTTTGAATGTTTTCCTGACAGCCCCACAGGCACGGCTCTGCGTTCCAGGCTCCAGCCCTTGAAGCATCTCTGCCGTGATGTATTGCATTTGTATATTTGTATATTTGTATTCCACAGAGGCCAGCGTTCCCCCGAGGGCCGGGCTGGGAGCCCTGGGCTGCCAGCGCTGGGCCGAGATTTGGGCACCTGCTGCCTCATTTTCCTCACAGCTGTGGCTGCGAGAACAGCATTCCTGATAAGAATGGTAGTTGCTGTGCATTTTCCTAATAAATACCGGCTGAAATGCCTGGCAGCGGGAGCAGCCAGGCTCACAGCAGTGGCTGGGATGGTGAATGAGCTCGGAAATGAAGGGGAACAGAAGGTTCTGGATTTGCCAGTGCCTGAGACCCTAAGAGTGACCTGTGCCCTCGGGGCCGGCGGGGGTGGCAGGTAAGTTCTGGGAGCTCACGGTGCCAGTGCTGCAGGGACACAGAGCGGGGGGACAGCTGCAGCCCTCCCCTTCCCTCCGCAGGGGCTGAGGGAGCCAGCAGAGCTGCGGCTGGCTCAGGAGGGGCAGCGGGATCAGGGGGCTGGCAGGGACCTTCAAGCTCCCCTCGTCCCACCCAGCCACGGGCAGGGCCATGGCCTGGACTTGGGGGTGTCCAAATCCCACACCCAAATGCCCCCGATGAATCCTCTGTAGGGGAATGGGGCACTCTGGGGGGGCTGCACTCGTTTGGCTCTGCGTTGTCACCAGGGAGTGCATGGAGGGCACCAGGGCAGGCTCTGGGCTGTAACAGCCGCCCTCTGTGCTTCTACAGGGGTGTTAAAACCTCAGTTCCACACAGAACATGTGCCTCCTCCTGCTGCAACAAGCTCAGTGCAGCCCCGACGCCCCAGAGCCCCCAGACCTGGTGACAGCACTGGGACCACCAGTCCCACACAGGCTCAGAGAAGGGAGCTTGAAGACCACTCTTGCCTCTCACTGTTCTCCTTGGGTGGTGGTCCCACAGCAGATCCCATAGCAGGTCCCACACATGTCCCACACAGGTCCCATAGCACATCCCACAGCAGATCCCATAGCACATCCCACAGCGGGTCCCACAGCAGGTTCCCAGCAGGTTCCACAGCAGATCCCATAGCAGATCCCACAGGAGGTCCCACACATGTCCCACAGGAGGTCCCACAGCAGATCCCATAGCAGATCCCACAGCAGATCCCACAGCAGATCCCATAGCAGATCCCACAGCAGGTCCCACACATGTCCCACACAGGTCCCATAGCAGGTCCCACAGCAGATCCCATAGCACATCCCACAGGAGGTTCTGCTCATCCTGCACAAGAATTCACCAAACTTGTAAAAGAGCAGTCAGGACACACAGCAAAGCTTTGTGGCCCTGAGACGATGGGGGTCTGGAGTTGTTGCTTGGCTGAGACACAAGAGGGAATTTTACCTTTGTGCTCAGCTCCTGGCCAGGAGAATGACAACTCCTGAAAGCCAGAACGCTGGTGGAGCTGCAGGAGCCCATGTCTGCTGATGGATGGTGAGTGATGGGGGCTCCTTGCTGTGCTGGGGCTCAGGAGCTTTCACTCGACTGGCAGAGTGACCCTGCACTGACTGTGCTGCTCCAGGGAGCAACGGGGATGGAGAGCAGCACCCTGGCTGAAGGCAGGGGAAAGCAGGGTGCATCCCAGAGCCACCCCAGGGAGCATCCCAGAGCCACCCCGGGGTGCATCCCAGAGACACCCCAGGGAGCATCCCAGAGACACCCCAGGGAAGATCCCAGAGACACCCCAGGGTGGATCCCA